GAAGGACATGGACCTGTTGGAGTGAGTCCAGAGGAGGGCCATGAAGATGATCAGAGGGCTAGAGCACCTCTCCTCTGAAGACAGACTGAGAGAGTTGGGGTTGTTCAGCCTGGAGAAGAGAAGGCTTTGGGGAGACCTCATTGCAGCCTTTCAATACTTAAAGGGAGCTTATAAGAAAGATGGGGACAGACATTTTAGTAGGGCCTGTTGCAATAGGACAAGAGACAACGGTTTTAAACTGAAAGAGGGCAGATTTAGATTAGATATGAGGAAGAAATTTTTTACAATGAGGGTGGTGAGGCACAGGAACAGGTTGCCCAGAGAGGTGGTAGATGCCCCATCCGTGGAATTGTTCAAGGCCAGGCTGGACGGGGCATTGAGCAACCCGGTCTAGTGGAAAGTGTCCCTGCCCATGGCAGGGGGCGTTGGAACTAGATGATCTTTAAGGTCCCTTCCAACACAAACCATTCTATGATTCTATGAAAATCAGACTTTATTTTACATATTTTTTCATTCTGAAGTGTCCCTAAGGTAACTGATTTAAAAAAAAAAAGAAAGCGTGCAAGACACTGAAGCAAGAGTGTGTGTGTGTGTGCGTGCTCGTGTAATGAGAGTCAATATGGACACTTTATTCATTTGTTTAATCAGTACTGAGGAATGATACTCTAATACGTAAGTCTTAAATGGAAGTATTTTTGGCTTACTAGAGCCTAATTAATTTTAGGCCTAACTTGCTGACAGATTAATATTTTTATAGCAACATTATTTTACGTCTAAGAGATACTCAATAATCCAGAAAGACACTATACTCCTGATGTATGAACCGCTGAGTGAAAAATTTCTGGGCTTTGCCATATAGAGGGTCAGAATTCATGATCATAACGGTCCCTTCTGATCTTAAAAGTCTGAGTCATGACGTTTTTTCAGTACTATATATCTTTTTTCCTTTCAGCACAGTTACACAATGGAAATTTCACATGGATAAAACTGTATGTCCTCTCACTCTACCTGGTACTGCATATGGCCATATATCACTTCACCAATACATATGACTTAAAAACTTAAAAGATATATTTTTCTATCATTACAGTGCCTCACACAGAATACATTGTCAAGTTCAAAATTTTTCTCCTTATTTTTAAAGTTAGTAATACTTTAAATATATTTGAATATAGACATTTAAAAATTGCTTGCCAGCCAAGGACTGTAACTGCTGTCTCTATGCAACTGTACATGGAAATGCTTGGTATAAGTAGAAGAAGCTTCTCTGTGGCCTTGGAACTCACTCCTGCTGCTAACATGTTTTAAACACCTTCCAACCCAAGTGTAAACTGCCCTTCTTTTACATGTCTTTTAATAATAGCATTCATTAGTGGGGGTGAAAGATCTCTACATTATTTCTCCACCAGGAAAAGACACAGTGAAGGAACCACATGCATTAGGTATATGCATCATGGTTACATATCTTGTTTTTTTTTAATTAATGTGGTATTTTCAAATGTTATTTGAGTCTCTGAAACAGCTGAAGAGATGAGAAGGTTACAACTCAGAAAAGGAGTGAATTTGGAGAGGCAAGGGAACTTTTGGGAGGAATAGCTTTTTGGACAGTTGCACAACTGAAGAAAGGGATTAGAAGATAAAGAAAAATTATCTTCCAGAGACAGAAAAAAGAAATGCTTAGAACAAATCTGCTTTTGTTGCAGGCTACTACTATTCACATATGATAGGTCTTGGATTTCTCTGCTAACTTTCACCTATAGAAATATGGAGACGGGACTGAGTATTTTTGGGTCTGTAAAGGCAACTATGGGAAAGAACTTTCCACAAGGCAGAAAGTCTGAGATATCCAACAACAGATCCACAGTTGTAATTTAATGAAATGCAAAAGGGATAGCGGCAAGACAGAAGTAGGAACAAGGCAGATGATTGCAGCTTTCCAAAAACTTCCAGAGAACAAAATGAAGCATGTGGTGACAGCATATGATACCAGAAAGGGGAAATTATTTAGCTCTGACAAATCTATTCTGTAATGGATCATGAATTTTGTCAGCTACCGTCCCAGTAGCAGGCCCCATACCCTCAGAATAATAGATGCATGTTCAGGATCTGTAGCTGCAGCTGCAGGCTGTTCAGGTGCAGAAGCAGCACAGAGAGATGTAAACTGTATTCTAACAGCATCTCAGACAGCTCAAAAGCAGCAACAGCAGCCATTGGAACTAATAGCAGCCTCACAGCTGAGGTCTTTAGCTGAGGCAGGCTGCACTTCTACCAGGGCAACTAAAGCAGGACTGGAATGTAACTGGTGGGTCCATTTGACACATGCTCTGAGGCAAATGCAGGACAGGGGCAACTAGATTTATATCAGCTGAAGACTGCTGTTTTTTTGGGGGCTGTGGGAGTTTGTTTATAAATGGGAAAATTTAATTGGAGAAATTACAAATCTGTAATGGGTGATGGGAGTATCATGGCAGAAGGTCTGATGTTCTTCAATAGCTTGCCATATTTTACAAAATTCTGGGTTTGTATTTACCAAGCAAATGGGCTGCTTCCAGTTCAGCTTAACCTCCAAGGAGCAAGTTCAGGACAGGCTGAATTACATGATCTAAAAAACAGCTTCCAGATCAGTTTTTGGCCTCTAATTTATGGGTGTACTAAGTTGTAAAGGAGATTTTTATAAGAAATGTGTATTAACAAAAATGCCAGTAAACTGAGTATTGAAGTATAAGAAGATGGTACTCTGATGTTATTAAAACACAACTTAACCTCCAAGGAGCAAGTTCAGGACAGGCTGAATTACATGATCTAAAAAACAGCTTCCAGATCAGTTTTTGGCCTCTAATTTATGGGTGTACTAAGTTGTAAAGGAGATTTTTATAAGAAATGTGTATTAACAAAAATGCCAGTAAACTGAGTATTGAAGTATAAGAAGATGGTACTCTGATGTTATTAAAACACAAACCTGTATTTACTCAAAAATTGTCTTCCACATTGATCTGGTACAGTAATCTGTCCCAGAGTTTCTCTTTTAAACTTTTTCCCTTTATTTTGTTTTGTGTAACTGTGACTATTGTCATCTATCTAAACCTCTAGTTTTCCTTCCCCAGTGTGGCAATAATGCACAAATGTAATGAACAGGACAAAAAGGTCAAAAATTAAGATAGAAAATTCCATACTCTTTCCATTTAAATTTTGGAAAAAATATGGCTTTGGTTGCACTATGCAGATCTAGAATGAGATAAGAAGTTTTCAGGGAGCGTTTAACCCTTGCCAGTTCTTAGCTACAAGAGAGAGCAATACAGATAATTCTGTAGGTGAAGGGCAACCTATCAAGTAAGTTAATTCAGTAATGGAAGAATATATTCAGGTTTTACTCTTATTTTCTTAGTTACGTTTCTACAGAAATAGAAGACAGCAAATATTAACTTCTCTAATAGATGTTCAGTAGAGTGTAACTGTAAAGTCCATATAGTATGGTTGTATTTCTTTATTGTTAAACTATTTCTTTTCTTTTTTCTACTTTGAGAAACCACTGCCCCAAACAGTCCATACCTATCCTATACTATATATTTTTATATATGTGAGGATTGATTATAGTTACCTATAGGTTTTTTTGATTGACACAGAATAAATTGATTTATATTTTAATGGGTCTTGATTTTGGGGTCTTTTTTTTTTCCTGACAGGATGGGAAGGCCTCCATTGTGAGTTGGATGTTGATGAGTGCATATCCAACCCCTGCATACATGGTATCTGTGTTCAGAAGGACCCCAGCTTTGGTTATTCCTGTTTTTGCAAGCCTGGATTTGTGGTGAGATGCTGACATTCTTTCTTCTTCTTCCCTTAACCTGATTATTCATTGTTGCACAGAAAATACTGTATATAATCCCTTTCCTTTTTAACCTCACTCAGACAAAACCCGGCCTTGCTGAAAAATACAGTTTTTTAGTAACTGTTCTTTGTTTATTTGTTTGTTTTACTAACAGAAGCTCTAATATTCCAGAGAAATAGTTATCCAATATCCACAAAAAGTGGAAAAGTATGAGTGTATATAATGGCTTTGTCAGTTGTCAGAGTAAATTATTATTATTAAACACTAATTAATGTTTTTCTTACATACCAATTAATATTTTTGTTTCACATAGCAATTAATATTTTTACATACTAAGATAACTCATACTTGCAACTATTGCATACAGACAGATATTTTGAAAACAAGAAGTTCCCTGAAACTAAATCAAACAATTCCTTTGAAAGCTTGACCCTGTGGGCTTTGGTCCTATGTTTTGTTCTCTCTGTTAAACATACCAAAAGAATCCTTTGAGGGTGGCTAAATGCCAGTGCTGTATTCATCTGAGGTTGATATTTCCATGCTGCCATCACCTTTTTATGCCAGTTCTCTCTGTAGTTGAAGACAGGCAGTTGATACCTACAATTTGAGCTTGTGCTTTACCTCATCACACTTCAGGTTTAACTTAATAGTATCATTTAATAGTTTGGGGTTAGTAACAAGGAGAGAAAGGAGTACATGGTTTTTTAATATTTTTTTTTCTTACTTCAGTAATTCTTATCTCTACAACTCCAAGCTTGAAATTGTTATTTGAATGCCTTTTCTTTATAAATGATGACAGTGATGGTTATTTTAATATCTATGCACCATTTATTTGGTATATTTATGTTTGTAAAATAGAAAGAACAGATCATTGCAAGTAAGATTGAGATTTACCTTCATAGATTCTGTGCAACCAAGTCAAGAAGCAAATAAGTAACTTTTCAGACATTAGCCAGTTTCAGGGCTTCTTTCTACAGTCAACAAAGGAAAAACTAACCAAGCAATAAAATGGAAAAAAAAGTTTTTCTAAAAAGTGAAAAAAACTTCTGTCTTCAGTTATTGCCAGGCACCATATTAATCTCTGTCCCATGCCCATTCTCTCAAGGGGATCCCCGGCACAGCTGGGGATGCTAGCATATGTCAAGGAGCACAAGTGTTAAGTGGGCTGCTCCACAAGGGAAGGCAGGCCAGGAGCCAAGGATAGCAGCAAGGTAGGCAGGGGCAATGACGTTACAGGCAAGGGGTGGAGTCCCACAGTACCCAAACAAGGATAGCAAAGCAAGACCAGTGATGGTGGTAACCATCCAAAAAGTTCTTCCAAAAGTCCAGGTGCTGCCAGGCAAGCCCATGATCACAAGGCAGATCTAAGGTTAAGCCAGAAAGTCAAGGCAGCAAGGCAAGCTCAGGATCAACATAGTGCTGGGCTTACTATAGCAAGCTTTAACTTTATTGTAAGCTCAATCAAAGATCAAGGGCAAGGGCCTGAGCTTAAATGCAGCTTCTGAGCTCAGGTATGAATGCCCCAAGTGAGACATGTCACACATCTTTCTCACAGCTTAGCTCTTTTCACTGCAGGCTGATCTGAGGTTGCATAGCTGCACCGTATCAGAGCTGTCCTTCTTCACACACACCCCTAAACATTCAGAGTGGAACTTGCAATTCTAATCAAACTTCATACCAAGTGCTCCATCCTTAGTAGTACATTAGGAAAAGGCAGTCTTTGTGTGGTATAAACATGGCATCAGATAATCGAAGCCTTTATAAGTTACCTTTATGGGTAACTGAAACTGCCATATTTTCAGGAAGTTTACATCCACTTCCAAAATAAGAGGTTATGAGTTCCCTAACACAAAACATTCTGTGACTCTGTGATTCTATGATCATGATTCTGAGACTAGTAGGTTCTCTATTTATGTAAGATATCCCTATAGAAATCCACACAGAAAGGATTGTGTGGAGGCAGAGATTTTCTCTAAATAAAGTAATACAGGGAGGATAAAGGTCAGTTTGAATGTGGCAGTAGATTCATATTTCACTGCAGGTCAGTTATCTAGTGTACTAATACTAATGTGGCTGAATTCCACAAGTATTTTAACTTCTGTGAAGAAAACAGAGGGTAAATGAGGAAAATTATAAAACACTCATTGGAGTGGATTATTTGATTCTGTGAGCTGTCCCAAGTTCTCTCCTTCACACAGCAGCCGGTGCTAGAGTTAACAATTGTCCTCTTGAGAACACAACACAAAGGCATTTTATTTTTACAGACAGTTTAAAGCATTCAGTGTTTCAGATTGATGATGGAATAGTTTAGATACAGCTATGTTCATTTCAGTTAAGATCTTGATTTGTTTCAGCAAGTAAAGTAGCTTAGTAAGATACTTTCAAGAAGGTGCTGGATAGCCCAATAGTTGAGGTTGGAAGGGAGCTCAGATGATCATGTAGTCCAACTTCCTCCTCAAAGCAGGGTCAGCTACAGCAGGTTGCCCACAACCACATACAATGGGGTTTTAAATATCTCCAAGGATAGACTCCATAACCTCTCTGGGCAACCTGTTCCAGTGCTCAGTCATCCTCACAATGAAAAAGTGCTTCCTTATATTCAGAAAGATTTTCCTGTATTTCAGCTTTTACCCATTGTCCCTTCTCCTGTCAGTGGGCACCAGTGAGAACAGTCTAGCTCTGTCTTCCTTATAGCCTCCCATCAGGTGTTAATAAACATTGATGAGAACCCAGACCCTAAGCCTTCTGTTTTCCAGGTTAAACAAATTCCAGCTCTCTCCACCTTTCCCATATGAGAGATGCCTCAGCCTTTAAAATTCTCTTTTGGCCCTTTGCTGGTCTGTCTCCAGTAGGTCCATATCTCTCTTGTACTGAGAAGCCCAGAACTGGATGCGGTATTCCAGATGTGGTCTCACCATTGCCGAGTAGATGTGAGGGATCACCTCTCTCAACCTGTTGACAATGGTTTTCCTAATGCAGCCCAGGATTTTACTGGTCGTCTTTGCTACAAGTGCACATTGCTGGCTCGTGCAATTTGTCATCCACCAAGACCCCTAGGTCCTTCTCTGCAAAGCTGCTTTCTAGTGTGTCAGCCCCGAGCATGTACTGGTGCATAGGGTTATTCCACCCCAGTTACAGGACTTTGCATTTCCCTTTACTGAGTTTCCTGAGGTTCCTGTTAGCACACTTCTCCATGCCTCTCGAGGTCAGTATAAATAGCAGCAAACTCATCTGGCATATCAATCACTCCTCCCAATTTTGTCTCACATGAAAACTTCCTGAGGGTGCACTCTGTCCTATCATCCATTACTGAAGAACTTAAGTAGTATTGGACGTAGTATGAACTCATGGGGTACATCATTAATGACTGGCCTCCAGCAGGACTTCATGCTGCTGATCGCTGAACACAGACCTTTGAGCCTAGCAGTTCAGCCAGTTTTCAGTCCATTCATCTGGTCCATACATCACCAGCTTGTCTGTGAAGACGTTATGGCAGAAAGTGTTGAAGGCCTCATTAACGTTGAGATAGGCAACATCCACTGCTCTCTCCTCATCCACTAAGCCAGTCATCTCATCATAGAGGGCTATCGGGTTGGTAAAGCACTATTTCCCCTTCATAGCTCCATGCCAAGTATTTCTAATCATCCCCTTGTCTTTCCTGTGCCTAGAAATGGTTTCCAGGTGTCATTGCTTCGTCAGCTTCCCAGGAATTGAGGTGAGGCTGACTGGCCTGTAGTTCCCTGGATCTTCCGTCTTGCCTTTCTTTAAGACAGGAGTGACATGCTTTCTTCCAGTCACCAGGAATTTCTCCCAGTTGCAGTGACTATTTGCCCACAATTTTGTAAAATCTGTATTTTACCATAAGGTAAAATTGGTTGGTAGGTTGAAAATGGATTTTAATAATGCATATAATCTCACTAAATTTACTGACGGGCTATCCTAAAAAGGAAGAGAGTAGCCCATTAAAATGAATACAATTTTTTTGTAGGGTGCTTTTTACAGAGTAGAATGGCTACAGTTGGTACTTCCTACAGTCCATAGCAACTGCTTTCTTTTTGTCTTCAAAAGCAGGCTGGCATTCAAAATGGGTCAGGTGATGATGAAGGATATATCAGTTGAGTGACACAGTCTTTTTATATGGAAAACAGTCAGACCCTCATGTTAAAATAATTTCATTTTTTTCATTACTTATTTATACTTATCCTACATGAACAACTGTAATGGAGAAAATAAATTATGCTATTTTTTTAGTATTTATTTCTCATAAAAAAATCTTCAGAATGCCAAATAAAACCATCAGAGGAAGCGAAAACCATCAGAGAGGATGCTTACAATCTCTATAAAGAAATTATATTTTCACTCAGTGCAAAATTCATTAGTACAAGTCAGTGTTGCATGATACCGTAGAGACCAAAAGTACAAATAAGTCCAAAAATGGGTTAAAAGGAGGATAAGTTCATCATTATTTAAATTACTCTTCTGAATGTTACCCTGGCTTAGGGAGTCTTTTGATTACTCGTTCCCAGAAGTTAGAATGGTATATTTGGTGAATTATCAGATGCAAACTCTGCTTGTTTTCTTCCTGTATTCTTCCCCAAGTATTCATTAATAGCTCACTGATTATGGAGCTAGATAGATATTTGACCCATGGGAGGCAGCTTTTCTATTAGTACATAGCTTGGACATTAACTGTACAGTATGTTGTAGAACAAGCCCTTACAGAAGAAAAAGTAACAAACCTCTGAAGTAGCTGGAATTTAAGGTGTATTGTCTGCTTTTATTCCATTATTCACTGTTCCATCTTCAGTCCCTAAGATTCCACTATGCTTTGGGAAGTCCACAGCAGAGAAAGAAAATGTGAAAAAAAACAAAACAGAAAAATGTTTAACATACCTGTCTTCAGTATGAAAGATAAGGAGTTAGGGTCTAAACATCTCAAGATGTGTATTTGGTAGGCCCCTGATGGGTTCTGCTTCCTAACCGTGAGCAAGTGTGGGGTGGAAACAATGGAACTCTCGGAGAAGTAAGTATTCAAGGAAGTCCAGCTACAGTGTGTGTTAGGTAAATCTTCTGTAGTCTATGTATGTAATGCTATCTGAAGTATGGATCATAAAGTATGGATCATGAAGTTTCTCATAAATTTTGGGAAGAAAAGCATATCCAGTGGTATATGGAATAAATGTTTACTTTTTAAATGGAAACATCTATAGACATATACCTACTTTTAAATACAGATCTGCAGCATCTGCCTGCATGGAAACTGTTAAAGCATTTACAGACACTTTCAAGGCTATCAAATTTATCTATGACTATTTAATGTACCCTTCATGCACAGTGGAGGTTATCCACATCTGCTTTGTTTCTGTGAGTCATAAAATCATAATCAAATGCTCTTCACCATTACATGTAGTAGTAATAAAATTGCACTAATTTGTCACAGTGAAAGTCAGAATGAAACATAAGTTTTATAGGATTAAGAAAGATTATTAGACAGAAATCTTATTCAAACTGGTCATTTGTGCTGTGTGTGGAATTAGAAGAGAGCAAGGAGGAAATGGTTTTTTATCATTGTATGCAAACCCGACATACAAATTGTCCTGCTGTTCCTTCGTGCTTTGGAATACCGATACAGCGAGTGATTTTATAAGATGCCATGAATTTACCAGATAGCTCACTGCTTGCCAAAACAAATTAAGAACCCGATTGAAACAAGCACGGATGTCTCTAAATCATTCCAAAAACCTCAATTTAACCTCTTCCATTTTAAATAGTGAAAGATTTAAACTACTTGTAAGAAAATTAATTTCAGTTTCTAGGTCCGCATTTCTGCCTCTTTCTCTCTTGCACCTCCTATTGTTTCCCAATATCATAGGTAAATTTAACAGACTTGATAGAGATCTCAGAAAATGTAAGTTGCTTGGTTCTGTGTAAATAGCTAGCCAGGTAGACAAGAGAGACTATTTAAGCATCTTGTCTGGGGGAAATGTGCAATGAGCACATGCTTATTGAGTACTAGAGAATTTACTTGAATTTTCTTACATGTGCCCCAGTTGCAGGAGAAGCTTCAGTCAGAAATCATATCTCTTCAATGTTAAACATAAGACACACTTTACAGGATATCAGGCTTCAGTAGTTTATGGTATTCAAAGAACATATTTCTTCAATGCATCAGTGTGATTTGCACTGAGAATTTAATTTCTGAGGCTAACATCATAATACTTCAACATCATTTAAACATTTATGGTGCCAGTTAAGTGGTTTTCACAATATTTTCCTTGGGGATACAAGTATCATATTAATTTTTCACCACTTCCCCCAGTATTCGAAGTGCAAACAAAACCACAGAAGTATAAAATAATGACAGAATGCATGTGTTGAAAGATTACAAGATCTTTGTGCATTGTTTACAGTCTAAATGCTGTTTCAGGCAATAGCAAGCCTTTTCTGGATCTAGCAGGTGATTTGGGATACAATTTGAGATGCAGATATGTAAATTCATGTAGGTGCTTATCTGTGCACTGAGTATCTATATTCACATTATTCTAAATGGAAACCTAGTTGATATGGTCAGTGCAGCCTAAAGGGTTGTTTGACTGCCCAGACACCTAAAGACTAAATCTAGGTGTCTGATCCCATTTTGAGGTTTGCCCAGCTTCCTGCTACCACACAGAAGGCTGGGAGTTTTCTGCGGATTTTGTGTTACATCTGCCAACACCATCTAGCTGCCTCAGAGATATGAGAGCATCCCAAAATAATTTGGTTTCCAAATCCAGTCCTGGGTCTATATTAGGGTGATTGATTAGCTTCTGGAGCTTTCTTGACCTTGACTAAAAGTGTGATTTGGTTGTGTAACCATAAGCACCTAATACTATTTGAAACAGTCTATAGAGTATCCACTATACCTTCATACAGCAGTTAGAATGACACAGGACCTGTGTGAAACCTACAATTCCTGGTTTGTCAGCTGGGACTCAGACAGGATACCCAGCAATTCCAAAAGTCATACTAGACACCCACGTTTAAGCGGTAAACTCCCTCAGAAACTGTACTGATTTTAATAGGAGTTCAGACACCTAAATTTGAATGTCTCAGTCTTAAACCAAATCCCAAACTTTATGTCTGTGCTGCTAAATGAAAAAACAGAGAACATTTCCAGACAGTGAAGCTCACTGAATGATGTATATAGCTAGATGTAGACATACAGATGTAGATGTCATGAACTTGCTAGACCAGGTCTGGTGTGGTTTTGACATGAGCCAACAAACACTTCCTCAAACAATTCTAACTCATCCCTGAGATATTTATACCTTCTTCTTATCAACAAATGACCTAGAAGACACCCATTTCAAAGACTTAGATTCAAATATTGACCCCACTGCTAGTTTTTAATTTTCAGACCCTTTCTGGGCTGGCTTTATGGAATTTTCGTCTGACAGAATAAATAGTTTGCTAATACATAAGCAGTAAAATTTTGATTTCTCCACTATTTATGTGTCTTCTGTCTTTGTGTCAAAAAAAAAAAAGGCAGAACAATTTTACAGTAGTTAGAGGCAAGATTGAAAATTGAGATTTATGCACTGCACCAGCTAGCTTCCAGAAGTTCTCTTTACAGTTTTGCATTATTTTCCAGGCTTCTTATGACATCTATTAAGAGAAGGCAGGAAACTGAGCTGGCAAATTAGAAGCCTCAAGGAGGAGATCAGGCTTACTCCTTTCCTTCAAAGAGAGGGAAACATCTCCCTCTAGCTAGCATTCTTTATTTTGAAAATAGGACTTGGATGCTTAAGACATTTTAGTCACCAAAAGGTGATTGCAGGATATTTGTTACACCTAATCACCAGTGGTTTGGGGTTGCCAAGGCCTGACAATATGGTTGGCCTCAAGGCTATCTCTGTCAGCAGTTGTCTAAAGCAGCAGATGGTAAGAGGCAGCAAAACAGCTAAAACTGTGGTTATATTACATAGCCTGGAAATGGCGATGAAAAAATCATGAACAAGCCCATTCAAAAAATCCATAGATTATTACCAAAGCTAATGTGTGGTTGTGTGTGGTTATGTGCCAGATGGTATGTTGTCAGAGATGCATGTCTTTCAGGGATGACACTGTGCATATTTTACATGGCTATCCAGGTATGTAGGATCCTTCTAGGTTAGCTAAATTAGGTGTATCTTTTCACATAGCCCATTAGTGCATTACAACAGAAGTGAAAATAAAACGAACCCAGGCCTCACTTCAGCATATATTTATTTCACACTTCAAGAATGCGTTTAATTCACATAATTATTGCTGTAAAAGAAATGCATTATTTCTTGCCTTTTTTACAGACCACTGAATAAGAATATTTTTAATTTATTACTAGGAAGGATATTTCAGGCTTCCCATGAATTGTTAGTCTTGATAAAAAATAAAAAGTAAGTGCTAGGTCCAATTTGAGACTACCAATACATTTTTTCTTTTCTAAGAGCTATCTGTGAACTTAATGTATTAACAAGGTGCTGTGTGAAGATTTGGTAACAACAGGCAACAAATACTGAGCTACGGTGTACGAAAAGAAAGAACATTAACTTGACAGTTAGAACAAACTGTAGGATTTTAGACAGCTAAGTTCTCTGTTTTCTGTATAACTACTAACTGAAGGTGATTACTTTAACTACTTTTTATTACTGGTGACGATACTATCTTTTATACTTTGCAATTACAAATCTGTGGGGAAATTTTTTTTATTGATAATTTGTAATACTAAGTCTGAATCAAAATATCATTTAGTTAAAATTTAAAATATGCAACTATATTATTAAATTAGTTAAGCAATATTTTCCACATTATTAGATTTGCTTTTAAAAGTGTGGACAGCTTAATATAAGCAAACAACATCTTAGAATCAAAGGAAAGCAATAATTTGAACTAACGTGACTATGAAATGCAAATTGCCTTCAAAAATGGCTTTTTTAAAATTCTCTTTCAGGGACGAAGCTGTGAGCTTAATTACAATGATTGCCTTATACAGTCCTGCTCCACTGGGTTTCTTTGTGTTGATGGAATAAACAATATCACCTGTTTACCTACTATCCCCCAAAGCAAGAAAACTGTCACTGAATTGGCTGAAGAGTTTCCTGCTGAGACCAAATTGCCTTCAAAAATGGCTTTTTTAAAATTCTCTTTCAGGGACGAAGCTGTGAGCTTAATTACAATGATTGCCTTATACAGTCCTGCTCCACTGGGTTTCTTTGTGTTGATGGAATAAACAATATCACCTGTTTACCTACTATCCCCCAAAGCAAGAAAACTGTCACTGAATTGGCTGAAGAGTTTCCTGCTGAGACTTTAGACAATGACTTTCTGTCAGCCCCGTGTGGCTTTGGAACTTTGGTCTAAACATGCTTCTCCTGATTTTCATACAGGAGAGGTGTCCCAAGGTAAGTAGAAAAAGCTTCTGAGTAATGCATATATCAAACTTCTTTCCTTGTTAGTGCTTTTTAAATGGTAAGAATATTCAAAATGTATTCATTTTCTTCTTAAGAATGTTGTTTTCTGCTTCCTGTACTTTTCTATTCTTTTTATTTAATCCATCATCCTTTCTTAATTGTGCTTAAATGTAACTGGAAAATTACTCTTTTCTCTCAAAATAATTTTTCCCAGCATCTTACACATCCAGTAAGGAAAACTGCACTTTCTCTTAGCTTGGTTTTCAGTTTGCTTTGCTAGAGTGTACAATTTCATATGCCTCATATTGTGTTCAGTTCTTTCTGACCCTGATGCCAATCTTCCCTCCTTCCTTTGCTAGTCAGCAGCAGAAAGATAATTTGCCTTACTCCATGGGGACTTTGGTTTTCCTTTTCTAGTTCACAACTTTTCTGAGTGCTTCCTTTTCTATGCATCTAGATGGTTTTTTCACTAAAATATCTGGAACAAGCCTCTCAACATCTCTGCCATTCTAACCGTTCATAGTGATGTTTTTGGGAAGCTAAAAAATTGCCTATGCTGTTATCTTTAAGATATTTGAAGAAAAGTCAACACTAACAGAAGTGCAACATTTTATTTTGAAGATTGTACCTTCATTGTGGCCTGTTCATTTTACTAAATCTAGGTATTATACAGACAGCTTGTATATAAGGCATCCTCTTTACGGTTAGTTTCAGAATTTTTTGCTTATATACTCTTTCAAAGTAATTACTTGTATAAGAAATAAGCCAGGAGTCCTGTTTTTTAATTTGGGTAAATAAGTTTTACTGAATATTTGATTTCTGTACAGACTAGTCTTTTGGGGATATACCTAAGCTTTTGTTGCATTCTTAATAGGTAATATTCCTTCTTGATGTAAGTAATGACACTGAGTGAAATGCAGTTACATCTGTGTATCTTCCAAAATATCATGTCAGCTAGTTTGCTGATGTTCTCAATGGATAAGATTTGTAATTAATTCATTTTATATTGATTCACAGTAGCAGTCTGATTTAGAAAATTTAATACTTCTGTTCTGAGCAGTGCCACTTATTCTGATGCTGTCCCTCATAGAGAATATGAATAATGGGAAGGTTTGCATTTACTCAATTCTTGAGGTCACTAAAACCGCTTCTACACTTTTATTAAGAATATGATTTACAGAGTTGTATTTGTCTGCTATATAATACTTTGGTAAGACTGAATGAGGTTTTGGTGGCCATGTAATTTGCTGCAGACTCAGTCCAGGGCCAAAGTTGTTCATTTTTTCTTTTCTTTTATGTGTGGGTTTTTTGTTGTCTTCTTTTTTTTTTACATTTTTATTCTTAAAGGTCTGAAAAAGGCAGATATTTTCAGCTGTGGGATACTTATGACCACTAATTTGGCTAAAATGAATTATGGACTAGGAGGACTAATTGCCACTGGAGAGTCTTCAACAGTATTCAGGATAGTAACCTCAACAGATGTTCTCTCTTCACACTTTCTTGGTTCTGCTGTTCAGGGCTCGGTAAAAATAAAGTCTAATATCACACCTGTACCATATGTGGCTACTGATATTTCCATAGATTTAAGGTCAGTACCTCTTCCCCAGCGTAATTATGGTACAATCTCATTTATCACTAGTTCCTTAAAGACACTTTCTGTTTTCCCTACACAAGTTGCATCATTAGAGCAGCACCAGACTGTTGCTTTATCTGCAACAAACATGATTTCAGTAATTGTAACATACCAGGGGCTGAAACAGAATTAAACGGTGAGTCATTACTCTCCTGTGGATTACGGTTTACAACTGATTCTAGAAGCGCAACTTCAGTTCTCTCTAGGTTGCCTCAAAAGGGTCCTGAAGAATTGTCAGGTGTCTTTTCAGCATCAGAAGAGCAGTTGAGATTACGAAGTCCTTCAATAATTTCTCATTCCCCTACTAAGATATATATTTAAAACCAGATATCTTTCCTTAGTTTTTTAGTTAGTCATGAAACTCAAATGCAGACACCTCTTCCTAGTGAATATCTGGCTATTACTGCTTCATCTATCAGCCAGAGACTCACAGACATCAAATCACAGGCTGCTGATTCTTTAAGTGAGTTAAGCCAAATATGTGCAACATGTTCTATGACTGGAATAAAACTGATGAATTCTCAGACCAAGTTGTGCATAGCAAACAGTCCCCATTTTATGAGATGTTTTGGATGAACTCAGTGATATTAACCAGCTGGTACACGCTAATGGGAGCTACTGCTATTGCTTCTAGGTATTTATTTTCTTCATCTAACAAAATAACATAATCAGTGGAGTTCACAAAACTGTCAGCCTTGCATCCCACTACAGGAAATACACACACATCTCCGATTGGTAGAACTGTCTGTTCTGCCTTTTCCTTCACAAGAGTCAGATACTCATTTTTCATGTTTTGATTCATATTGTCTGACTATTTTTCCTTCAAAGACCATCTCTTTATAATCATAATTTTCATCACTTATGTCCTTTAAAGAGATAAATATAGACTTGACAAAATGATTAACTACTATTGAGCAGCTGACAACAGAGGAAATTCAACAATTACTGCAGTCAAAACTGCATGATCCAGTTATGGAGATATATCATTCATTAAGTCAGGGTACTTTTTTAAATGTTCAGCTGAGTAGTGTATTTCAAGAACTACTTTTAACCCACATAGTAAATAGTAGTTCTGAGTTCAAAACATATCTACTGATAAATGCAGGTGAGATTCTTAAAATATTTTCAGAAACAATCTGGTCAATTGTTCTTGATTTATACGTTCTGCCTACAAAAACTTTAGGTATAGACTTACTGATGGATACCCTGGAAAGCTGTCATTATTTGAATCTTCTAGTGACGAGTTATCTTACTTGGTTTTATCTGCACAGGCCTCATCTGTGCAAACAGAAATTTGTAAAATGTTAGTGACAAAGCATTTATCTTTACATACCTGTTATCCTACTTTAAGTTCTGCCTTACAAGAATGTTAGCAATGTTGTACTGAAACATATGAGATGAGCAGACACTACTGCTGTGTATGATAAGGAACTCCTCATGAATCTAAACACTTTTACCTAGACTTCACAGTATATCTGCAGTGAATTCAGTTTCTGGCCTTTACCAGCTGATGTTATCCTTTGACTTTCTCATTTCTATTCAGACAACTTTTTGAGGTGGTGGGGTGTTTTTATACAAAGATAAAAGTGTCTGTCAAGGTTGCCAGGTGCTTGAAAGAGATTTATTGTAATCAGGCAGCAGCCTGTTCAATGGATACAGCACCTGCTGCTGTACCTGACACAGATGGTTATTCTTCACGTTCTGCCACGTAGGCTACTAGATCAATATAGAAGCAGGTTGGAGGCTGCTATAATGCTGGCAGGCAATCAGCAACTGAACAGTTTCACTTCACTACAGTAAAGTTTTCAGGATTTCAGGTGTAGCTTTCATCATACATATAAATTCAGGAGATATCTCTATGGTTACAGTATATGAGTATGATCATGTATGTGTGTATATCATACATACATATGAGTACGATTATTAAGATTTTTGAATGTAAAATAAGTATACAGAAAAATGTATTTTTGTCTCTTGAGAGAATCATTTTTACATATAATATAATATAATTAACTCGCCACTTCTCATGCCAAAATGAGACAGATGATGGTTACATTTTTTGAAAACAGTACTTTTGCAAGAACATTACAACTTTTTCAGAACTAAAGTCAGGGAATTAACACAAAAAAACCTATGAATTCTGGAACTAAATATTAAGGAACATTGATTGGTTTGGACTACATTTTTATACTGCAATTTTATAAAAATTCTTTCTACAGAATGAATACCCATCAAGCCAAGGAGAGGTTTTTTACTTTTATTGCTTTTCATTCTTTGCTTGGGGGTTTATGCAGGAAAAAATGGTTTTATTCCATCAATTTAAAGCACACAGAAAGTTTAAAAAGGATTCTAGACTATGAAAGATATGTATAAAAAGGTGCCAAAAGACAAGTAAAAAATTTTTTTTTTGGTATGGAATAACAGTTTTTTTTCCTGTGAATGCTTGTCCGTGTAGATTTCATTCTCAGTATGCATACATAAGCACACAGATCAAATTCTTTCTGCCAGAAGTGCCTCCTGATACTGTGCCTGCACTCATGAGGTCAAGTTGTCCAAGCATAACACTGTGCATTCCCAACAGATCAAGATATGAATCAACATGGAAATAAATCCCAAGCTCCACATCTAGTGGATAACTACTGGCTTAAAAAGGTTCCCTCAGAACTAGCGAAGAAAAATGTGTTTTAGGTTTTAACAAAGTCTGTTAATCTCTTTTTTTTCTTATTCTTTGATTCTTTGATACCCTCAGTGTGAAGTATATTTGCACGGACTATGCCATACACTTTCTAAATGTTTCTTTCAATTCCTGTGACTTGTTTGGCACCATATGAACTCTTTGGGGTCCATATTAATCCTGCTTATTGGCTTATACAATATCAAGACAACTAAAAGTCACCAAGATCATAGTATTGCATACCACAGTTTAGTTGACCACCATCTGCTTCCTCTTTGAAAGTGGGAGGCCCAAATATACCAAGAAGAACAGAGTTGACACATACTTTCCTTTCACCTTCCCTGTAAAAGCATCAGAGAGATTTATCTCCTAGTCCTTCCTCTTAAAGAGACTGCCTTAGAAAGCAGAAAAGAGCTTTAGAGCTCACTCCTTGAGTGGAACATCGCTTGGGAGTTAAAGGAAACAGGCATTGCTGCCATGATTCCAGTATCCGTATGTTCAAAATACATGAACATACGTAAGTTATGAGGTACACAGAAAGAGACCTAAAAGGCAATATCTTTCAATATCTTATTTTCCATAGCTGGATCTTTTTTTTGTAGTGGAAAGAATAGATGAGGAAGAACAGTGCATCCGCAGAAGTAATATTTGCCATTGCGTTGATGCATAAGCAAATCTATGCCT